ACATATTATACTTTCATATTCAAATAACCAAAACAACAATTGTTAATTTTTATCAGTCTGCTAGTATTCACGGGGTTTCATAGTAATGTTCTCACTACGTGTGAACACTTTTCTTTAACATTCTCAATTAATGGATCGTCCCTATACTCCTTCCGGTATGAGTATTAAATTACTAAACCTTAATACCCCGTCCGTTATGAAGGGTGAAGTGGACCATCCCCATATCATGTTCGCTATGAGTGCTAAATTATCAAGTCTCGATAACCCGTCTGATATGAGACAACGTTCACGATAGGATTTTCTATGTACCTGGTCCGTCTACCATCTCCCATGATATCCAGTAAGGCTGTTGTTTCACCCATTCACTTATTCACATAATTTTTTGTTTACCTTTAATCTCCATTTTTTCCAATTTAGTTGTAACCACATAAAACAAATAATACACGCATTCAAAATTATAAAATCAATCAATAATGTAACGACCTTGGAAATATCTAAAGAAAATAAAAGATAATTAAAGTATGGAAGCGTAATAAATGTTCAAGGTTTACATTCCTTACACAAATAACTTAAAGTACCAAACAACGTTACAGAGTGAATTCATTCTTTTGAAAGAAACATAAGAATAAAGAAATAAATAGAAAATAAAGAAATCTAGCATCTACTCGCAATCTTCATACGGATCAGACTCTGGAACCTGATACTCTTGATCTGAAATGGTTAAATAAGGGATGAGGTACACTAGACCAGTTAGAATATCACACTATATCACTGACACAGAAGTAAATGTTGGTATAAAATCAACAAACTAATAGAGCATTTAATTTAAATAAATTTCTTTATCATAAATAAAACTATTTACTGTTCACTTACCGTAGTGAGATTCATAAAAATAACTTATGCAAACAATTAATATCATACAAATAATAGTTTCATGTAAAATCAGCAACATATCACATATCACAAGTCTATATATACATCGTCAATAAACCAAACAATAACTGTCACTTTTTCACCAGCGTACTAGTATCCATGGGGGTTCATAGGGATGTTCCCACTACACGTGAACACTTTTCTTTACAATCTCAATTACCAGCTGTCCCCATACCCCGTTCGGTATGAGCGCCAAATTATTAAACCTCAATATCTCGTTCGGTATGAGAGTGAAATGAGCCGTCCCCATACCCCATCCGTTATGAGTGTAAAATTATCATGTCTCTATACCCCGTCCAGTATGAAACAATGTTCACGGTAGGGTTCTTTATGTACTCGGTTCGTCCACCATCTCTCAAGATATCTAGTAAGACTGCTGTTTTCATCTATTCATCTTCCCACACAACTTTCCCATTTTTCGTTAGTGTTTATTTTCCAAATCAACTATAATCACACAAAGAAACAAACATGCATAAGGGAATACAAGCATATCTTAAATTTCAAATTAAACAGTGATCATGTAAGGTAGCAATACATGCATTCAAACTATAAAATTGATAAATCAGATACTATCATGCATTTAAACTGTAAAATAAATCAACAGAAATCAACAGAGAATAATTTTTTATTTTGGCTCCATTAGTAATCCGTAATTAATTATGTACATTTATTAAATTCGCACAAAATACTATATTATTATTTATTTAAACTTCAATTCTATGATAGGGAATAGAGTGAGGGATCCTTACTCGATTTGATGTCCGAAAAGCTAAGCTCTTCGACTGTGCCTACAAGCGATTTTTGAGTTTCCTGAATTTTTATTCGGGAATTAAAACGCAATAATAGTACCTACAAATATCCCAAACAAACCTAAAATCAGTCTCGGGGCCCACTTGACCAATTTTGTAATTCCAGCACAGTGGCTTTGCCATGCTTCGGCAACGGCACTGTCGCCCGCGGCGGCGGTCCGTCTCGTGTAGGCTGTTTTTGGTCGAATTCAGCCGATTTTGCATCGATCTCTGCGATACAACACGTTAAAGGACCTCAGTTAGCCCAAAAAATATAAAAAATTGAAACTCACCGGTGGTAGGGCTCTCCATTGCGACGGCTCCTTCAGCTCACGTTGCGGTTGGGTATTTTGCTCTGGTCAACCTGTAAAGAAGGACACGGTGATTACAACGGTGGAAAAATTACACAGAACGAGAATCGAGAAGGGTCTCGTCGGAGGCATTTTGTGAAATTCTCTGCGGCATTGCCGCCGAGCTTTGCCAGCGTTTTCTGGCCAATTAGCTGGTCTTTTTGCTCCGATTTGACCATGGATGAGCTTAAAATTGAATTTCGAGCAAAAGGAGAAGTTTTTACATTTTTTAGCAGTTGGAAAAGGTTATGATACAGCAGCAGGTGGCGGCGGCTCTTTCCCGGCGGCCAGGTCTTCTTCTCCAGCGAGGGGTTCTGGCAGCTAGGATTAGGGTTTGGTGTGAATGAGAGTTATTTATATCCGTCCGCTTTTAATTTGGGCCGTCCATCGCATTTGATCTGCACTGTCCGATCACGATTAAATAGGGAGTGAATCTGGACCATTCATCGCAATCCAATTTGGACCATCCATCGTGATCTAATCTAGACAGTCTGATCGCGTTTGAATCTGGCCGTTCGATCGCGTTTGGGAAGGAGCGCATCCAGGCCGTCCGTGCGCGCGGGAACGGAACTTGGCCGTTTGATTGTGGGCACGCGGATCGCCCGTGTGGCACCGCGTCAGTGCCTGTTGCCACGTGGCGCGTCTTGGTTCGTCGGGTCTGCTGATCGGGCATCCTACGTGACAATTTTTTTTAAATTATGTTTTAACCCTTAATTTTCGATCTTTCTTTAAAAAATACTCTTAGAACTCAAATTTTTACCACTTTTCCCCAAAATTATTTTCAATTTCATCCTCCATCAATTTTATTTCTTTTTTTACTCTAAATAAAAATTAAAAATTGAAAAATTAAGAAATTATATTTATAAATAAATCTTAAATTACATTAAAATTAAATTTAGGGTATTACAAATAAGGTATTATCATGCATTTAAACTGTAAAAACAATTAACAGAACAATAGTAGATTATTTCTAGTTCTGGCTCTATTAATAATCCATAATTAATTATGAACATTTTCTAAATTGTAATAAAATACTGTATTTATTGTTAATTAGACTTCAATTCTATAACAGAAAATAGAGTAAAAGATTCTTACGCAATTTGATGCCCGAAAAATGAAACTTATTGACTGCGCCTACCTCGGTCCCCAGATTCTCTGTATTTTTCTTAAAAAATTAAAACGTATTATAAGTACCTATAAATATCCCCAAAAAATCCAAAATCAGTCTCAAGACCCAATTTTGGCCAATTTCAAAATTCTAACACGGCGGCTCCGCTGTGCTCCGACAACGGTGCTGCCGCCCGCGGCGACAGTTCACCTCAAGTCGGCTGTTTTTGGCCTAATTCGACCGATTTTGCATCAACCTCGTGAGAAAATATGTTAAAGGACCTCGGTTGGCCCAAAAAAATACAAAAAATCAAAACTCACCGGCAGCGAGGCTCTCCGGTGTGGCGGCTCCTCCAGCTTACGTTGTGGTTGGGTGTTTTACTCCTGTCAACTTGTAGAGAAGGGAACAGTAATCACAATGGTAAAAAAATTACGCCGAACGGAAATCGAAAATGGCCTCATTGGAGGTGTTTTGTGAAATTTTCTGCGGCGGCGGCGACGGGCTTTTCCCACAGTTTCTGGCCAATCGGCTAGTCATTTTGCTTCGATTTGGCCATGTGGGTGTTTAAAATTGAATTCCGAACAAATTTTTTTTTTACCTTTTTTGGCGGTCGGAAGTAACTCCGACGCGGCGGCTGGTAGCAACGGCTCTCCTTCCTCACAGCTGAGTTTTCTTTTCCGGCGAGGGTATTTGGCGATTAGGGTTAGGGTTTGGTGTGAAGAGGGTTATTATATCCGTTCTCATTTAATATGAACCGTCCATCGTATTTGATTTATACCGTCCGATCGCGATTAAATATGAAGTGAAGGTCGTTCATCGCGATCTAATCTGGACCGTTCATCGCGATCTAATCTGAACCGTCTGATCGTGTTTGGAGAAGGAACGCATCTAGGCCATTCATGCGCGCGGGAACAGATCTGGGCCATTCAATTGTGGGCATGCGGATCGCCTGCGTGGCCTCACGCATGGCACCACATCAGCGTCCGTTGTCACGCGACGTGTTCTGATTCGTCGGGGCTACTAATCGGGCATCCCACGTGGCACAACTTCTCTAAATTGTATTTTGACCTCATTTTTTATTTTTTTTTCAAAAATACCTATAAAACCTAAATTTTCACTTTTTTTTTTTCTAAAATTATTTTCAATTTTATCTCCTATCAAATTTCTTTCATTTTTACACTAAATTAAAATAAAAAATTATATTTACAAATTAATTTTAAATTATATTAAAATTAAATTTGGGTGTTACATATATATTTAGGAAAATAGTTGCGTGTAATTAATCATTTAATCCATCTGTTACTAAAGTTGCTTTAATTGTATTTATTTTGATGATAACATTCATAATTAGTATTTTGAAAATTTAAGACTCAACTTTAATGAATTAAAATCAAATTAAATTAGGAAATAAATTATTGTGAATTGAATAATTACTACATTCAGACAATTAAATTAAATTGAAGCAATTATTTTTAATTATGTTAAGAAAACAAGTAAGAATCCAACAAATATTAATTTAAACAATAAATATAATTAATTTTATATTTAAACCTTAAACTCTTTCATTTTCTATACTTTAATATTTGCAATTTTTACATAAAAAATTTAAATTATAGTGTTATTAAAAAACAAATTTGTGATTTAATGGTATTATTATCTAATATATTTTTATATTGATGAACCTTATTGGATACTAGGGGCTGTGTGCGGCTGATGAGCCTTGTGACTCAAGTCACCCAACTGGTAAGAACTAGTGCCGGAGAAATATCTTTTTTAAAGCCCTAAAGCATTCCTACTGCTCCCTCTTTTTCTGCGGTGCTGTGTTCCAGCTCTGTACGATGGTTGGAGATATAGGCAAAAAGCCTTCCTTTTTCAAGGTTTTGATTGGTGACTTCTCTACCCAGTTGGTAAATCCCCCTCCTTTTCTCTTTTCTCTCTTCTGATATGCTGTGGTTTTGGTCCTCTAGTAGGTCTACAGAATTTCAATTCTTGGATCTCTTGATGATCGATCATTTGGACTGACATAAACCTTTTGGTTTTATTTTTTTTCGTATTGTCAATCACATTGAGTGTAATGTGTTTTAGGGTTACTGTGTTTATGTATATCTATATATATTTGTTTAATCAAGCAGATGTCAAGTCCTGTTTATGGTTTTTTTTTGTTATTGGATTAGTGACCCTCTTGTGAGGAAAAAAATGTTCTTAGACGTTCTAACCTTTATCAGCATTTATCCTTTTTACACCATTATGTTATTTAATATCATATTGTTTTATGACTTACTCTGTTGTTTTTAATGGATATTAACATTAAATCTACCTTTGATTGCTGTTTGTAGCAAATTCCGCCAGCATTTGTCAAGTATGTCAACAGTGTTGTACCTCAAAACTTCCAACTTTGTAATCCTGACGGGATTTGTTTTCCTGTTGTTGTGGAAAGGGTTGAGGGAAATTTATACTTTAAGAATGGTTGGAGGAAATTTGTGCAAGATAATTCTCTGGAATTGGGAGACTTTCTAGTTTTTCTATATGTGGGGAATTCAAGATTTGATGTTGAATTATATGGAAGAGATTGCTGTCAGAAGGAGATCTCCATGAGTACTAGGAGACATCCCAAACCTCTTTCCTGCAATGAAACTAGAAACATAGACAAAGCTGCTAGTGGAAGTCGACCCAGAGAGAAGAGATATGGTGAATCAATGTTGACATATGAAAGGAAGAGACATGAAAATGCAACGCAGGAACATGCTAGTAACTTGGATTCAAGCCCTGTTGTCAAATTCAGCAACTCCAAAAAGAGAATTGTTGATCTGGACTCTCCACTTGCTGAAGGAGATACGCAAGCTGAAGCAAAGATAACTAACGTAGTTTCTATTGATTCTGACGGTTCTGGTGATGATCTGAATGGAACACCTAACTCCAAGAATCAAGAACCTTTATGTCAGATAGCTCCGGTAGTGACTTCTAATGTTCTTGGACAAGCTAGCCCTGCATTCAAATCAGAGTATCCAAGGTTCCAAGTTGTCATGAGAAGTGCATATGTGCGAAATGGGTATTTGGTAAGTTTTGACATTCAGATTTTATTAGAATTCTTTTGAAGAACAAGTCAACATAATTGCTTATCATGGTCCTCATTGATTTGATCATATTCAAAGTACGTAATCGAAGTTATCAATGTCAACTTTTGTCCACATTTAGGCTTGGAATTTGAAGAGAGTACTCATTGTTCACTAGCCTTATATTACAGGACCCCATATGGTGCACTTTTATTGTGACTTAATATTAAACTAAGTCATTTTATGACTTATATTCTCCTTTCACTTGCATTTATAAATATATATCTTAAGAAATTGTGAAGAAAAATCTAATAATAAGGATGCTATTATTACGTACTATAATATCTAGAAACCCTACTGATGTAGGGACAGAGAGAGGGTAATTTGGAGACTAGGCTACAGGTATTGAAGAAAATACATGCCTCAATGCCGGTTTTATCATGTGTATGGTATGCAAATCATAATGGTTTCTTATGAAATTTCTCGATTAGCAGTTTTTTTGGTCCCTTGATCTCCTTCACTTTTTTTGTTAATTAGTGATGCAGAATTAGTAGTTATAAATTATCTAAATAGATTAAAAATCATAATAGAATTATATATAAAAATACTATAATATTTAAGAATCTATTATTGTAGATTTAGTAACTTCAGGATTTTATTCTTATTAGTACCATTTTTTCACTTTGTATAAATAACATTTTCTATTTTATTAGGAATAACATTCCTAATCTTATCAATATTAGTTTCCTATTGTATTAGGAGTAGTCTTTCTAATCTTATTAATTTTCATTTCTCAGTTTAGTCCTATTTAGTAATTGTGATTTAGGAAGTATTATAAATGTCTTTATAATTTTACTTCTCGGAACATAATTCAATTATTGAATAAAATAGTTTAACTGTTGTGTGATAAAATCAAACCCATAAATATGATGCATAAGATTTTTCAGGTATGATCTCTAAGAAAACATAGGTGTGATATCTTCCTAAATCTGTAAGTAGGCAAATTAGCTTTACTTTGTCCTACATCAGTTAGTTATTCTTTATTAGTTTTCTATTATGGGAGGAATTAAGAAATTAGTGATTATGGGCTAGGGTTTTAGATATTATTTAGAGGAAGGAGGATCATGTTTAGGCTTGCAATAACTGAGCGAATGAGAATGAACAGGACCATATTTTTGGACAGAGAGGGAGGAACTGGTGGTTGCCAACTTTTCGAGAGCTGTTGCAAATATCAAAAGAAAAAAGATTCTGTCACAAATGCAATAAAGTAGATAAAAAGCTCATGGAAAAAGAAAGGAAAATAGTAGGGGATGTTTTCTGGTATTTAGAGGTTTTCGGAGGGAAGTAGTTCTCTGTAATCATCTCTAGTGGAAGAGGATGGTAAAGTTTTAAGTCTATTATTGCTTCCATGTTGAGTGTGCCTGATCGGTGGTTGAGGAATTGCTGGTGGAGATTGAAGGGAAGCAGAAAACTGTTGATTAGAATGTATTGGAAAAAGGAAGAAAGCCGTCAAATGAGTAGAAGGCTGCAGCAGTGTGAAGAACATTAAGGCAAGGGTATAATTGAATTCAGAATTGGAAGATGCAGCCAATGGTTGGGGAAAGGAATGCCACCATTAATACCATCATCCGCAACTTAAGGGACTAGACGATGAGAATTTTAAATTTGAAAGTATGTAATAATAGCCAAGATCATATAGTTCAGATGGTATAACATTCACAAATTGAGTTGATGACTTGAGCTTGAGTCCTGTCTTCCATCTTGTCTCCATAATGAGAAGAACATTGTTAATTATGCAGTCAGGAAGGAAGTATTTGTTGGGGGCTGATCACGAAAGATGGTGAGTCAACTCTTATTGATTGAGTAATCTCTAAAAAACCTGGGTTAATTCTTGATAGCTCTTACCAGGCTGGCATCGTAGTAAGATGTCATTTTTCAAAAAAAGGACTACTGCCCCTTGAAGCATCTGCAGATGTGCTTGCCAAGTTAGGATATTGAGTAGCCATTGGTGGACTTAAGTTTTGAACCCTCCTACTTGCATCAATAGTCTTCTCAAAGAAGCTATGCCCAACTAGTTTTGCTTTGTCTCCCTGCTTCCCAAAAAGAAAAAGGATTAGGAAAGAATGAAACATTGGCATTGCTCTGGGCTCATGACACCATGCAGCAGCTAAAACCAGATTGCTTTTGCACTGAAAAGAACTGGCTGACTTGGAGAGAGATGCTAAAATTTCTGGTACTGGTAAGGAAATAAAAACAGGAGCAATGGGAGGGAGAGTTTAGGCTGATTAATGGGCGGATATTATGGGAACTCAGCAAAAGGAAAATCATGAGGCTGTAGATGCTGTAACAGAATGATTTTTGGTCCCTCACTCATTGGAAGATAAACATGTAATTGGAAAAAACAGGACCAAGAACTGTGATGAAGAGGTTGACAAATTGGGATTTTGAAGGAACAGTATGATGATGGGTTTGAAGAAGCCGCTGAGGATCACCACTCAAATGAAGGGTACTCCAAAAGTTGAGGGGCGTGGATGGAGGTGATACAGAATAGGGAAAAGGTAGATTGGAATGTCTTAGTATGAGAGAAGGTTATTTATGACCTCTATGTACTCTTTTAGTGTGAGAAAAGGCTATCAAGGACATGTTAGCTAGATTTAGGAGTTATTTTTTTGTTTTATATTTTTTATATTTTTTTTAGAATGAGGTGGCGCCTTACTATTAGTAGGATGAGGTGAGACTTCATTTTTATCGGTATTTCTGTTCCACTTTTTGATTGGTCAAAAGGGTGTGGAATATTGCCAGCTTGTGACACCTCTTGTTGGTCCAGGGATAGTGGCCAAAGATGGTAACTACAAGTTGCCAATTTGTGCCACCTCTCATTGGACATAGATAGTGGCAAATTGTTGGCAAGACTGCTACTGTTTTTTTTTCCTTTTTTTTCTGTATAAAAATATTTGATGTACTGAAGATGATTATGTTATTGGAATTAGACTTTGAAGCATTTTTCTTGTTGAAACCTGATTTAACAAAGGACAAATTCATTTCCTTAAAAGTCTCTGTTGAAGCCTAAAATGATTAAGAAATTATCTCTGGAGCTAGTCCAAATGCTGCGATGATTCAAGAGATGAGGGGGTGTATAGCAATTCTTTATTTAGATCTTGTGGAAATCTAGATTTAAGGAGTGGGTTTGAAGTCCTTTTAGTGCTTCATTTGGAATATGACGTTGCTTAATTAGTGGATTCTATTGATGATTCTTTTTTCTCTTGGTGTTGTTTAATATCATGTTGGGGGGCAATTAGAGGATTAGTTGTGTGTATTGGCCTTATATTATCGAGATTGAGATCATTCCTACAGGAGGAATTGTCTTCTCTTTATGGATGGTGCTTTCCTTTGTGGTATCAACATTCTATAATGTTTCTGGTAGTCTTGTTGAAAATCATGTGGGGTGGGGGCAATGAGCTTACTTTGTACGAGGGGCTTCAATAGTTCTTTTGGAGATTGTCAGCTGTGAGACATTCCTCTAATTCCCAGTTCACTTGGTCAGATTCTAGGGGTAGTAAGTCATCTGTAAGTGATTGTTCTTTGGTTACTAATGCTTGGGATGATAATTTCCCTGAACGGTTGCAAGAAGTGAACAATTCCTTTTAGCAAGTTCAAGGGGTAGCAGTAATTTCTGATATCTCTATTTCCGGTGTCGCTACAATCTCCTTGCAAGTTCTGTATTTCTTGCAAAAGTTGCTCCATGATTTTCCTATACGGTATCTCTTTGGCTTGGTTCAACTTAGGAATTTCACCTCTTCTTGGTGCCATAGAAGCTGTAGATTGTTCTTTACTCTAACATAAATTCATAAAGATATGATAATTTGGAGCATTGACTCCAAAGGTCGAGTAATCCAGTAATTATTTTTGTTTCCCATAATTGTAGTAGAGAAAGATTTTTTCACTTGAGTTATTCTAATATATATTCGTAGTATGAATTTTCAAGAGATTGCATAGATACTTACAAGCTCACTTTAGGAAACTAAGATAGATAACCCTAATATACTCCTGACTACGAAAATGAAACAACTCCTAATCAAAATGATGTTAAACCACTTATAGATAATAAGATTCAGATAATTTTAAGACATGAGTATCAAGTCTGTAAATCTGCCATTATAATAATTAACAAAATAACCTATACCGTATTTAATGTTAAACATTTTTTTTTTAATTTCTCCTGCATCACTTGCAAGTTTCTAATTGCATACATAAGCTTGATAATTCGGACCACTACCCATAAGAAATATTACGGTCGCCAAGAGATTACTAAAATCATGATTGCATGTATTTTTTGTCATTTTGGTTCCTTAAAATACAAAATAAGACTTTTAACAACTTTCTGTCAAAATATTGCTGTAGTCATTTTATCATTCATTTGGTTTCAAAATGACAATTTGGCTGGTTTCAACTTCTGTGCAGCATATTCCGTTAGGCTTCAAACATCATTCTTGGGTGCGTGACAAAGAAAGTATTATGCTTCGGGTTTCAAATAAATTATGGCCTATCAAGGTGAGTGTTTACTACGGCGGGTGGATTAGGTTCCTTACTGGTTGGCGTAGATTTGTGACTGAGAATTCTTTGCAAATTGGGGATACTTGTGACTTCGAATTGATTCCTGGTAAAAATGCAGTGCTAAATGTTTCCATTTCGAGGCGCAGAAGTTAGATGGCTTTATGAATTAGCATGTTAATAGAGAGAAACGAAATTTGGTTGGATGCCCTTTTGTACAGAAACACAACTCATGGTGAAATGAGTAATTATTTACAAATATTGATCAAAAGGAGATAGGGAAGACTAGGATTGTAATATTCTTTATTTCTTAGTGGTGAATTGATTTCTTTGTTCTTTCGCTCTTCTCAGATGAAATTGAATTTTACAGCAATCTTTTTAAGTTATATGTTAAACAAGCAGTTGATGTTTCTTATTTCAGAAGTCTTTCTATAGCAATAAACTCTGTTGGTGATAGTTGACAGCAATCAGCACACACCATTTCGTTTGTGGTCCACAAGACGGCGCCAATACCTGATAATGTCCTGATGAGAATGTTTAGGAGGATTAGGATTAGGAGTCACAGGCATGCGGCTAGGGAGGGTATCCATTTCCTTCAAAACCTGGTTGAGATGATTGATTAGTCTCTCTGCGAGCCCTGTGCTGAAGTCCTCCCTAATCACCACCCGCAGCACTGCCACATGTTGCGCATCTGCTGGCATTGTGTAGGCAGGAATTATCCAACCGAATCTTCGTAGGCTCTCTGCAAGCTCAAACACCGTGTGCTTGCTGCTATCCTGAAGCCTGAATGCCACAAGTGGAACCCCTACATCCTTTGATAGAATCTCAAATCGCTCCGTTTTCTCTATTCCTTCTCTCAACACTCGAGCATTTTCCATGCAGTTTTGTATTATGTTCTTGTACCCCTGTGTGTAATTCCCTTGTCAAATTCAGTTATATATATATATATAATTGTGCAACATGATATTACAAAAAATATACGGCAAGAAGGGGAGTATGTGTACGTACATCGAAGCCAAGTCTAATGAATTGATAGTACTGAGCAATAATTTGATTAGATCCTGCAAAACAAAGTTAAAGAGATATGAAGAAAAGACTTGGTGGTAGAAAAAATGTTAATCCTTAATTATAACCTTTAGAAAAGTTGAGAGTAAAAGTGGGTTGATCAGCTCCAAGATAGTTGATATGAAAAACAAGATCGTCAGGCAAGTCATCTTTTGTTCTCCAAACAACCCAACCAACTCCGGCGTAGACCAGCCCATACTTGTGGCCGCTTACGTTGATGCTTTTGACCAACGGCAACCGGAAATCCCACTCGAGATCTGGGTAAAGAAAAGGAGCGATGAATCCTCCACTAGCTGCATCTACGTGAATTGGGATATCCCAACCAGTTTCGTCATTCTTCTCAGAAAGCAGCTGGTTCAGAAGCTTTACATCTTCAAACTCTCCAGTCAAGGTTGATCCAAGAATGGTGGCTACACAGATGGTATTCTCATCAACCATCTCCACTGCTTTCGCTGGGTCCATCACGTAACATCCCTCAGTCAGTTTCACCTCCTTCAGCTCCACTTCAAAGTACCTTGCAAACTTTTCCCAGCACACCTACAAATGCCATGTATGTATTCTCCTAAATCATTTGCCATTTTCCATGCATATATAATATACACATAATACTTAAACAACACCTGCACATTAGCTCCTGTGACAATATTGGGTTTATCAAAAGGTTGACATTGTGATCTTCTCTTGTGCTGCCATTTTCTTTTGAAAGCTAACCCAGCCAACATTATCGCCTCTGATGAACCCACAGTTCCCACACCAACTGCAGCTTCATCATCTCCAACTGGAGCATGGAATAAGTTGGCAATCATATTTACACACCGATTCTACATAATAACGAAGATTGCGACTCAGAAAACAGAAATAATATCATATTAATTTATACTAATTCAAACTCTAGGATGATAGTGTTTACATTACCTGAAGCTCAGTAGTAACAGGATACTCATCCATGTCAACATAGTTCTTGTTAATGGAGTCCATCATAAGCTTGTCGCACTCAGGCTCCATCCATGTCGTCACAAAGGATGCCAAGTTTAGCCTGGGATTTCCGTCTAACATCAACTCATCGTTTATTACTTGGTATGCTGCTTCTTTTGGCATTGACCGCTCTGGCAACTTGAATCTGTCTCACATGGAGGTTGAAAATTTAAGTATTTGATACATTTTATATATAATTGAATTAAGTATAGTCATTGTGTATTTTATGAAGTGAAATGAGCATCAATACAGAATTTCTCACTCCTCATAAACAAGTAATATGTCCTGCGTGATTGAATCTAAAAAATCACTGGGTCAAGAATATAGTTGATTGGAAAGAAGTTCTATTTCAGTCAGTTAGATTCAGTTGATTTATTATGCTGCGTAGTGAAAGATAAGATGAGCTTTAACATATTATTCATACCTAATTCCATTAATAGCTTTGTAGTCTGGCTATATTTGTAGACAATATCCACAGACTTTGGGTTTGAGAGTTGTGTTCTAATGACATTTGTTAAAGAGCATAAGGGATCGCACCAGACCAAGTAGTTTTCTAGTAAAAAGAGTTAAAGAGCATAATAAGTTTTTAGCAATGTATTAAATCTATAAAAAAAATTAATTAATTGTGAATTCTGTTAATTAATCATATAATTATTAATTAAAATTAGGTCTCATAGATACGGTGAATCGAGTTTTTTATCTCACCTAATTAGGGCGGATTGTATTAGAGTTTAGCTGTAAAAAATTCATTTGTAACAAATTCTGATATTCTATATATAAAGTATTATATACGTTTAAATCTTTTATTAGAATAATATATACATATACATGTATATGAACTAGCTTTTTGTTTTGGGTTGTATATATATATATATATATATATATAAGTTGAAACCTAAAGTTTTAGCTTTTAGGTTGGTATATAAATAGGAAAATTATCAACTTAGTTCACATTACTTGACACTTATCACAATATGACCCTTAATAGAGAAGTATTAGTGGTTGGGTAACAAATTGTTTGTTAAATTATACGAGTATAGTCAATAGAGAAGTACTAATTTTATGAATGTTGACATGTATATATATATATATATATATATGTGTGTGTGTGTGTGTTTAAGGAGAAGAATAATAAGTTTAATATGAATGAAATGGTAAATGGTACCTGGGAACAGGAGCACGCATATATCTGGAAGCAAAAGTGGAGTGCAAATACTCTTCGGAGTCGGTGACTTTGGTCGTGATCGCCATGGTAATTGATTCAAATTAAAGTTCTTAATCAATTGAAAAAAATGGTAATTGAGAGATTAGCAAAGAGAAGAGGAAAGTGGGATTAATTATAGTGGGCGGTAGTTTCCTAAATTAACATCACGTCGATGAACAAGCCAAAATACATGCATAACCAGTGCCTGCTTCCGTAGACTACGACCATATTTATACTACTCCTCCACATATATATATATTTTTTAATTTGCTCATTTTATTTACAATAAAAACCAATTTTTAATAAAAATTAAATCATATGATTACCACCTTTTAACTTTTAATTAATAAGATTACTATGACTTTTTCAATTCTTTTTATACTAATTTAGACACCATAATAACCTTTTAGAATAAAATTCATGATCACCCATATATTTATTTGTCGACTTTTTCAACTTCGTCTTCCGGCAGAAATCGGCTCGTGCTTCGCTTGTGCTACTAATTAGCTTATTCGTCTTCAACTCGGGTGTCAACAGGTTCTTAAGTAGTCGACCAGAGACTGCAGAGAAGAGAAAGAGAGGCTCCAGCTAGGAGAGAGAGGGAGAGAAAGAGAGAGTGTGTTTGTGTGGATGAGTGAAGGTGATGACTAGTCGGGCGGACATAGGCTAAGTGAGCTGCGAAGTAGGAGAACAAAACCAAGAGAAGGTTCGAGAGCAGAGGCTATGGAGGGAAAAGAAAGTAAGGGATTGGCAGCCATGGCAGCTGGTATAGAGTGGTGGTTTCTGTGAGGGGAGACTTCTGGTTTTTTGAGAGAGCTTTCGTTGGAGCTTTGTGTTGATTCAACCATTTACAGAGAGAGAGAGAGAGAGAGAGATCCAATAGTTCACATTTCAAATAGAAAAATGAAATTCAATTTAACTTCCAAAGCCCTCATAGTTTGATTTTAATTCTACTGTTTTAATAAGTTTCAAAATGTATTATTTGAATTCCACTTAGAATTTATTTAAAATTAAATTCTTAGATTTTTTTATATTTAAACTAACATATTTCTAAATAAATAACATAAAAATACATATCCTAAAATTTAGGTAAATTAATTGGAACTGTTAAAATAAATTTAATTCTGCGCAAAATGATAATATTTATATGCAGTTTTGTAATAATATATAAAATGATTCCTGAGCTCCAAGAGCACTTCACGCCGAAGGTGACAAATTTCAAAAGGTCCACCATCAAACAATGTATTATAACCGGTTAAAAGAAAATCTGGAGTCTCATATGTGAGCACAGCGAAGCTAAAACAATTTAAGTCCACCAGTAGCATCAGCAGAGCAGTCTGTTTTACTTGCAAAAGAAAACAGAGGAGGATAAGTAACCTGTTTCTCAGCTAAAACATTTTTCCGGCGCCATCTTTCCGCGGTACCGATTCATGGACATCCATTCTCCGCCAGTCCCCTACCAATGAGGCCATTTGATCTACCTTGTCAAAAAGACCTAGAAGACCCCCTGTATGTATGAACAGGATTTTCCTCCCTTCCCACTTCTTTGGGTTCTCAGCCATGTCTTGCACCATTCCATAAGCAGCTTTCCCACTGGAAGGATTGTTCAACCAGCAGAAAACAAATTCAAACTATTAGAATATGCGAAGCTGAATCAAAGAAATAATGGACACCAATTTGGAACCAATAGTAAAGAACTTTTCATGTTCACCAGCTTTTTTGGATGGTCAATGTGGAGAAAACAATTGGTTTTCCTTATCTCAGTGAAATAAATTGCCCTTAAATTTTCATATCAGTTAGTGGATTTACCCATTTGATGGAACAGGAGAGACAAAAAGAAAAGAATAATAGAATCAGTTATAAGGTTCAAAAATAAAATCTGAACAAGCTCAGACTTCTACCTACCTATACACGGGATCGAGAACAACACCAGTAGCTCTAGCAACTTCTTTTACAAACTGAAGCTCCTCAGAGGTGTTAAGTGCATAGCCCAAACCTTTGGCCTGCAGGTGATCTTTTTGTCAAAATGGATCTTACTGCTTCATGAACAAATTAAATCAATCAATTAGAATAACGTGAGTAAAATAATCTGACATGGGATCTTGTATTTGATTGCATCTTAGAGCTTCAAAATTTTTCAAATATCTCATTAGTTTTTTAGAGAGTCCAGGCCAATGAAACTTCAACAACAATACTAAATTGCTTCAGCAGTTTCTGGATGAAACAAGAAAGAAAACTAATTTCTACTGGACTAGGAATTACAATATTTTTTAAATTCGAGAGTTGCGGATAAGTGAATGCTTATGGGGTCCAGGGGTGAAACAAGCTCGGTTTGGTTCAAATTGGAGAACAATTTTAACCAAGCTGAAAATTTCAATTTCCAAATTTCCAAAACGAAAGTAATTTGGTTTATTTGATCCATATTTTTTCATCAATACCATAACAACCTGAATTTTTGGTATTTATTTTAACATATTTTTTTAATAAAAAAACATTATCTTATTATATATTAAATGTTTATTGATTCAAATATTATTAATAAAAGTCAGTTTTTTTATTTTCTTCAATTTCAAACTTTTATAAACCAAACCAAGAAAACTACTAAATTCAATTTAGTTTTTAAACTAGAGCAAATTTTTTTGTTTCAGTTTTAACCAAACCATAACAAATTGATCATTTGGTGTTTGGTTTTCTGGTTTACACCAAATAACTTACTCCCATATATGACAATATACATAACAAGCACAAGAAAATTCCTCAACCATGCACACCAAAACAGTTAAACAGGATGGTAACTGCTTTTATTTTTTCAGAATTTGAATGGTATTAAGCAATTGAAAGACACGCATGCAAGTGCATGTGCACATGGCAAACTGAAAACAAGACAAGATCTAACACCCACCTAGTAACAAAAAGATTGAACTCAGCAGATATTACAGATGTCCATACAAAACAACTCCTAAAAGTCATTTGAACACTTACATTTTTAATGTCAACAATTTCACGAGAGCTCACACCAGCTTCAAGTCCATCCAAGAGGCCTTGGACTAAGTCATAGAAGTAATCAGGGTCATCACAAACAGAAAATGCATGAACCTGAAAAGTCAATGGACTATACAATTAAAAAGTAACATAGAAAAGAGCATATGTAAATCTACAGAAAGGAAGACATACTTTTGCCTTCAACATACCCAGCCAGGATCCTAGTGAAAGACCAGCAATCGTACCTCCACTGAAATTCAGTATAAAACAATATCGAGTTTGCTTCCAATTCTAAATCCACGAAAGAGAAATTGGAATATAATACAACTAGGATGGAAATTTGAATTGAAACAGCAATCCAGATTCAACACAATTCCACTATCAATTCAAATTAGGTATGCTTTTGATTCTTTCCTTGACATTTGGAAATACAAATCCATGTAGTGGAATTGAAGGTACTAATAAAGTTGATTCAATTATGCATCAAATTTATAAATTACATCATAAATATCAAATAACTAAAATTTAAGAATTGAGTGGGAATAAAATGTTTGAACCAAATGCAACATGAAATTGGAAGAAGAATAGCACCTGACCTTGTTTCTGAGTATAATTAAAGGTAGAAGAAGAATGTTAGTCTAAATGAAATTCAAAACCTCAAAATATTTGACATAGGAGAAATCTTTGATTGTTGTATTTGCCTTTCCTTGCTCCTTTTTGGT